GCGGTATTATCGCAAATTTTTGAGTTCTTACGGCGAGTACTGTACTTTTGTTACACACTGTCCTGAAAAAATGGTTGGCCGTGGGTTATTGGTTCTTCCTAAAGATGTTATGGTCATTTTAGTGTTTTTTGGAAAAGTTGTTGCAGTAGGAATTGAGTTAAAGGCTCGTACTAAAACAGTGCCGTGTATGTCTGGGCTAGGTAGTGTTTGTCCGACATACATATGTCCGACGCATGACTTGGCATGTGCACCGCCGTGAATTTAAAGGGAACTGCGCTTGACAACTCTCTCTGCCACGGTGTCGGGGTTCTCATCCTTGCGTACTGCCCCATGATGGCACCTGCGTTCCTGCGATCCGACTACAACAACCATCGTACACTCCGCCTCATTACTACCCTGCATGGTCCCCAGACACTGCACTCAGAGGTCAATGGTAGCAGAGGTTAACGTTAGCAATTATATTATCGTTATTGTTAATCTGTTGGGATATACTGTACACACAAGAAGAACAGAACGTAGAGAAGGTAAAAATGATGTTTGCCCATCGCACTCAAAGCATGTATGATGAAGATGGAACTCTTGTTACACAACGAATTATGAATGAAGTAAATGACTTCATGCCTATTAACAAAGCAAAAAGATAAGCTCAACTATAATCCTACGGGATGGTACCTCACCTCGCTAGGGGCCGTCGATGCGCGTCAGCTCTCCTGCTTATGCGCGGTGACGTTAGCCAACACGTCCGGTCACCACCCGCAGCGGAGCAACAGTTTCCATTCCATCCATCCTCACAGCGATTCTGAGGGCGATCGTGGTTTCACCATCCACGGGCGGCGCACCAAGGGCTATCAGGAAAATCGACTATCGGCTGCGCAGAGGGGAGAGTGGTATCGTCACCACTAAGGAGTAAATCTCACCCGCGGTTACGTGAATTAATTCTTGCGCGAAGTACTCCTCGTCCCCCTGTCGGCCCTCAACGTATGCTGCGCGTAATCCGTCTACGTAGAGTATCTCGGAATAGACCATGAACGACTTTCAATGAATCTTGGCATCGTATGAGTCTCGGGATGAAATTATGGTATAGCCTCCGTCAAGATGGCACAGCTCTTCATTCAGTCAGCGTTTCGGCGTTCTCGCCTTCGTCATGACCTAGAAGCCAAA